AACACCAGAGAGAGAGAGAGAGAGAAAAAGCTTTACTTACCAGTCTTGAAATTGTTCTCTTGTCCATTCAAATTTATGATCTGGATGTCTATAGCCTGAGAAATTTGGAAATAATACATTGAAATCTGCATTTGGAGTAGTTACTATTACTACTTTTGGCATGATGTATTCAAAAATATTAAAGGGCAGATCCATTAATGTGTCTGGATACAAATGCTCAATTCTAAAATTAAGAAATATTTTTATATAAAATAAAAGATATATATTTGTGATTGATAGATAAAAAAATATTTTAATATCTTATCATATAAAAGAACAATGAAAATAAAATAGACTATAATCTCTATGTTAATGTTCATACAACATAACATACAATTCAATGCAAATTACAGCATCCGTTTGCTCCAACTTTCGGTCATTATGTGTTACACTTCCTTCACATAATTCAATTACAAGTGGTGTTTTTCGACAACACACATATTCCATAAGGTATGGCTCCGCTTTTACTTTGTTATATTCTAAAACTTGCCTATCAATGTCAACACAAAGTATTTCTTCCACTCCCGGTGTATTTTTCAAATAACGTACAAAACCCAATTCTGAACATCCAAAATCGACAACCTATCGACAAATATTAAAAAATACAGTTACTATCTAAAGAAAAGATGATGGTGAAATTAATATACTAAAAGTAACAATTTTTCATATTTGATTGTTTATCAAATAATATCTTCGAATAAGATTAAATTATTTAGCGATAAAGTAAAATATTTAGAGGGATGTTGGTCTGATCCATTATTGCGAATTTTATTTGTAATAGATTAAATAATTCAAAAGTAGCTAAAAAATTTGTGCAATCATACTATAACAACAATAATAGTTGCTTTCCATTTACATCAAAACTCAGATAATTCTCATTTGTGACATCATAACTCAGTTGAATGCACGTTCCATAGACATAGTACATCTAGACATAGAAAGACTCGGGTTCGATTCCCGATTCAGCCACTTGTACCTCGCATATTTTTTCAGACCCGCAAATGTTGTTTTCTAACAATTATTTGTCGGGCTGAGGAAGTGTGTAAACGCCCTACACAGACACGACAGTGCCGCTGCCACGGAAGAGATGGATGCTTGGTTCGTGCCTCCTCCCGCCTTAAATCCCCCCCTCGCTTCACCTCGCTGATGGTTCGATATAATGCGATGCTACATCCATTGGTTCTCTATCTCTATCTCTATCTTTATCTCTATCTCTACCTCTATCTCTATTTCTTTTTTCGCGAGAACCTTCATTCGATTTGTCAAGATATCTGTCGCGATAAGATCTTTTTTCCATGAGTGCTCTGTAACAATAGCAATAAAAATAATATAACAATCACAATAAAAAAATAATAAACATTCATTTTTAATAAAAGAGTAGTATCTTTTTTGCTCGCTTCTTGCAAATATAAATCAATTAGTTCAATTAGTCTTATATTATATTCAGTGTTAAATATTTTTAAAAGTGTTAGCTCCTTTTGTAGGAATATTTCTGCGAATATTAACTTTAATTCGACGTAGTTCAGTAGTGCTAATTTGTATGCCCTCAGGATCTCTGAATAAAGGTACTGACCCACTTGTAGACTCATCTGATCTGAAAAAAATTCAATCAAAATGTATTAAATTAATTATAACTATCAAATATTTTGTATTAAAATAATCAAACTTCCTCAGAAAAAGATCTCCAGGAAGACAATTTTATTTTCAAATGAATGATAATAAACATTAAAAATTTATATTGTATTATAATTTTTTTTATAAATTGTTTCGTATTATCTCTACTATTTTTATAAATTTTTTTTTATTTCTTAATTTAAATGTAACCAGACATTTACAAATTTTCTCTATAATCACTTTATTTTATAAAGTATCAGTAAATGCTTGAATTAGAAAAATGTATATGCATATACAGCCAGTACATATAAAACTTACTTTTTAAACAGCATACCAGCTTTTAGATCTCCCTCTCGTTTTCTTTCATATTCTGAGATTCTCTGTCGTTTTAATTTTTCGTGCTCCTTATCTCGTTTCTGCTCCCACTGCCATTTAAGTCTACGTCTTTGCTTTTCTTCTTCAACATTGATTGATTGTATTGGATTCATTGCTGAAAATATGATGCAAATAAAAATCTATTCCTAAAACCATAATAAATAAAATTTTCAACTTTAATTTTCTAATAAAATGAATGTTTCTAAAAATCTTTATTATGATTATTAAAAGCATTGTGTGTGCGGTTAATAGATTAAAAGAAGCAAGATAGCTTATATTTGAAGCTTACAATTTTTTCAACGGGAATTAATTTCTATATTGAATATACATATATATATATATATATATATATAATAATTAAAAATTAACAAAAAACTGTGAGATATTAATAATTAAAAACAATAAAATAGGCAATTGAAGCCATGCAGTGCAGTGTCTAGAGAGCAAATAAATTTATTAAGGAATAAATAATCAAGAGACACGGTAGTGTCTCGTGAGGAGCCGCTAGACTCTCGTATTCGAATTACGTTTCGTATCTTTCGCGACTCTGTTACCATCAATTAGAGTTAATCTCGCGAGGAATTATCGCCAGTGTATTTCACGTAAAGTATTTAAATAGTCGTCGTAACGTATATATTGTGTATGTGTATACAAAAGCCAATATCGCGATGTCGGTATCCCGGATCTGTTTCTGTGTTATGTAATGTGAATCGATTGAAATTCTCTTCGCATATTTCACACCATTATTTTCCAAAGACAGTGCGATTATCGCGCGATTATCATCAGGTATGTACACACACTTTGTTAATTTAGCTCTGCATTGATAGTATATTTCCTGCAATTTCATTAGAATATTTTTGAATCATTTTAATGGTGATCTCATTTTTATATTAAAAATTATATATAAATCATTCTATTATAGAATAATATATTGAATTTTTGTATTTTATATAGTTAAATCTGAACTGTGACAAATTCTTATTATTGCAATTAATCATTTCAGAGTTTCCTAATTATCCTTGGTATTAAGCCAATGCAATAGTTACTAAAACATCTACTGCAGATTTTTAATAATATCTTGTCTTCGGGTTTGATTTTTCTAAAATTTATTTTGTTATCTATAATATTCCACAGGAAACGATTGGAAAGATAGGATTAACAATAAATTATATATCTCGCTCAGTATATTCCATCGACATAATTTATATTTGGGGGATTTAATAATAATTAAAATAATTGCGTGACAGAAATATTAATAGCGGTCTACTCATTTTCTAGTAAAGCGACAGTATACACGTCACATTATTTTCTATAAATTAAAATAATTGTCGATTTCTTTTTTTTCCTATACTTGGGCACCATTGCACGTGTATACTCACATGGTGATATAAGCCGATGTGACCTTTAGTTTCACATCATTTGTCTGCGCACCTCAAAGATTTTATTTCTTTTGCATCAGTAAACAGATGCGATATTACATTACACACTTTGACATATATTTTATATATTTCATATATTTATACATATATATTTATATATATTTTCATATTCTTTCTGTCATATGTATCTATAATACGCGTGCAACTATATTATGCACGAGATCTCTCAATGACTGTTAATCAGTCTAACATAGGAACATAAAACTCAATATAATATTATTATTACAATTTATTATTTCAATAATATAGGTCTATTTATATAATTATATTGTAGAATCTATATCTTTAGACAAACACATACACAATACACACATACATACCCACACGTTATATTCACATTTCCAATTATTTACAAAGGTACTGCTATAGAGGATTCATTCTCTTTCTCCTTTTCTTTTATTTTGCAAAAATATGGATTGTCGATAGCTCTTATACCTGTCTGCTCGAAAGTATAATACAATAATAATAAAATAGCCAAATAGATGCATCCAAAGTGGAGAATTCATTAGTATCACAAGCGATTTGCATAGAGTTAATATTTTCGAGTGCATACTTCCTTATTTTATGAAAAGAATGATAAAATGCACGTGCGTGTAACAATATTATAAACAGTGCGATTACAAAGATATATTTTTTATAAATTGTAGCCACTCGATCAGTATACTCACATGTGAGGCATACACACACACATGCACACATACATCAGAATTTATATTTAATATAAAATTACATGTAGTTTTTATGAATTTTATACAATAGAATATATATATATTTATTGAAATCTTATGTCATATGTATGTTATATCTCTTATGTATATATTTTTTAATATTTTTTTTCCTTTATCAAGGTTTTTTGAAATAAAAATTATGTGTAAATTTTTAATAATCGAACAATTATATTTTAATTGCAGATATAAGCTTTTTGGATCAATGCAAAGCACATTAGAAACTTTTATATTTTGTATGCAGAAGTTTTACTAAAAATATCGAGTAGTTTGCTTCACACAATCTGATTATCATGTTTACTTACGATGTTGAATGAATATCAAGATAGAAGTTAATATATGTCCTCACATATACATATATTTTTTGTTTGTAGAAATATAGGCACAGAAAATAACATCTGTTTAAATAGATTAACAAGAACATTAAGTTTGTATAGGTTGTATACATGTATTTCTAGTTGTATATATTTTATATAACATTTTAAAAAATAAGTCTAATTCATTTAATATATGCCTTTTGCTTAATATTTATCGTTAAACGGGGCAAATTCGTCCAAGATCTTTTGTTAAATCAAAAGTGTTGATTAATTTGATTGTTTGCGCGTTGGCCCTATCTGATAGAAAAATCGGGTTATAATATTTCTGAATAAATTTTTTTTAAAAAAAGGAAAAAAGTTTATAGTTTTAAATTTTCGATAGCAAAACGTGACGTAATAGATCTGTTGATCAAGGATGTAATAATTAACAAGTACCATTAAATGGTAAAAATTGTATCTTATTTTGATATCATCAGGCATTTTCAAAGAAACGTATGTTACGCGTTTCCATATTAATAATGAACTTTCCCATTGTACAAAGATATACATTTAATTATATGTAGATTTGTAATTCAAATCCTTCTCTTAAAATTTAGGCCGCATAAAATATTTCTTGTTTGACTTTAGAACGAGGAAACAAACACAAGTTTTACATTGTCTATAAACAAAATAATTGAAAATGTTTTCTTGAAAATTCATTCACAGATAAATGTCACGTTTTAAGTTATGTTAACTCATAAGTACCATGGTGGAATCGTACGCAATCCTAAATTTCTTAATGTTACAAGATTACTTGCTTTTTACATTGTGCTATGTCAATGCATCTGGTATTATCTTCATTTTATTTGTTCACTTTTCAATTAAAAAATAATGTAAAAATTTTATTGGTAAATGCTCGATCATAAAAAAACTTGCTGTGTGTATATATATATACATTAAATATTCTGAGAAATGTTTTATGTATGAGAAATTCTGTATGTATGTAAGTTCTTAAATAATATTCACACAAATATTTACACGATATCATAGTACTATAATTTTTCACCATGGCACTTAAGTGCTAATTACTTTTTTGCAAGATAATAAATTCTTCCTAACTACGCCTTTGTATACAATAAAATCATATCACAAGTCTCGCCGAATCGTTCATCTCTGACCTAGGTGCATAATTAATGTGAAGAGATACTACAGTAAATATCACATGGAGCACAATGATATTTCATCAATTAAATACACCGTAGCGACTTTACGAAGTCCATTCCTTAATAATCGCGTATCTGACGGATTAAATTAAACTTTTAGGCATTACATATTTGACAGCAGTCACATTATGCTCGTTCGTAAAATAATAATTTATATACTTTCATATATGGAGTAGAATAAGCTCAAGCATATGACTGATCCAGCGATATAGCTATTTTATTCCCTTTCTCGACCCAATTTCTAAGACGTCCTCTGAGTTCTTCAAGACTTTTCGATTTTGCCTTGTTTATCCTCTTGTATTTCACATCTTTTGGCTTTGTCACGGATCTGTGGTTGCTCATTACCCTATTGTACGTTACCTGAAAGCATAAATAGATTGTTTTTCGAGAAAATCAATTTTATATGTGCATGGCAGTAGCATGATTTTCACTAAGCACCATAAAAATTATTACAGGTATGTAAAGTATCTCTTAAATCAAGATATAAATTTGTGTTAAATTTTAGATTAAAGAGTTCGTGTTGCATTTCAAAGATTATAATATCAATTTAAATACGTCACAACTATTTCTTGAAAAATCTCTCTTATTCGCCGATAAGATTTCGAGTCGTTCGCTTTTACCTGAGCCTGCTGACTTTCGTCTCTAGGTCTTTCGCTAGGCGGAGAATCTGCTTCTTGTGCCAGCCTCTCGAAACTGCCATAAAGATCCTGAAGTCTGCCTTTTCCGTTGCCCAAGTTTTTCGCTCTCCTATCTTCGCATTCTGAGTTTTCTGTCGACTCGGACGGATCCTGATTATTCTCGCTGTCGCCATCCTCCTCCACGGAATATACAGTTTCCAGGATCTCCGGTCTTCTGAGAAAACCGTTGCATCGTCGCATCGACGAATATTTGTTTGACGGCTCCACCGCATCAGATACGGAGCGGATCACAGTCACATCAGTGATATTAGAACGAAATCTGTAGAACACAAAATCAGAACTACAATATAAAGCTCGCTTTAAACAATTTATCGAATGCATATATATATTCATATTATAAAAATTTACGTATTATTTTCAATATTATATAAATTTCTATAATATGAATAGAAATTGTATCTTTTAATGTCTGATATTTTCGTGCGCTCACATTCACAATTTCATCTTATGATTTATTCTTAATTTTTACATTTTTCTATCTTTTTAATCATTCTTTATGTAAGCTCTTGTCGAGTCCACTTTGTATGAACGAAAAACAAGTATGATCATATATTTCATAGGAATTTATATAAAAAAGCATACCTTGGCGGAGCAGGATCGTCGGCGGTCTCCTCGAGCACCACGGCACTGTCGCTATCACCCAGACTATCCAATCTGTCCAAGGCGTCGCAGGGTGGCGAATCTCTGGTACCTGTGCTCCTTTCCGCCAATCTGCTCTGTAATTGTCGAATCACCCTTTGTTGTCGTAGAATAATGGATTCTCGCTGACTTAGACTGGCTTCAATCTCCTTCTGCTTCCTGCAGAGTCTAGACTCGAATAGCAAAAGCTGTGATGACAACGTTCGCAGTTGTTCGGCCTTCTCTCGCGTCAGTCGGGCTACCAGATCCTCCTGCGAAACCGATTACAATAACGTGAACGACGTCGGTCGTGTGATCATTTCCCATATTAATCGCGCGAATAAATAGCTTTTTACCATATAGGCTATATTCGTATCGATAATTAATAAGGATAATTAATAACGAAGCGATTCGCAGCAATCGGTCTTTTACCCCATCGGATATGAAACAAGTAATTAATTAGCGAGCGCGATCGCGGCTGTTATTAGTATTTACTTAACGCCGTTAATTAATTTCTTCGTATACAGTTCGTCTCACGTAATATCGTCCCGATCGAGATACCGTTTGAGCGATATCGCTCACCGGAACCGGAGTGTGTACGGTATTTCAGAGATCGCATTTTTACCGAACACCCGTTCGCATCTGCGTGTCTCGAGTCTCTGTTTACTTTACGGGGAATGCGCTATACTGGCAGTACGCAAGTAGTGCGTTCCCCGTCTGCACACGTCGTGAAACTGCGTGTTTGCACAACGGTATACGGGTACGGGTATGTATCCGGCCATCACTTTGCATGAACATCGCGCATCGCGTCTCTTCCTTCCGTCCTTTCCTCGGCGAGGAGGGGAGGGATGGGGGCGCGAATCCATTATTCTCGCTATTGTGCTAAATGGCATCGTAAGGCGACCAGATGATATTGCTGTAACGCATCTCGAGCACAGAATGAAAATAATTGAGATGTTTTGCCGATAAATCGTACAATGTGAATGACCGGGTAATGTTCTAGAGAGGAGATTCTGCATTTAAAAAAAAAAAAATAAAGAGAGCTAATACTACACAAAGAGTATTTTTGACGTAAATTGTAAAAGAATACGAAAAGAAGCTTTGATATATATTTTTTTATTTAATAAGTGATATGAAATTATCCCATTATTATTTAATTAGGAACTTAATCGACTAATATTTATCAGAACGCATATGTTTTTCAATAAGATAGCTGTTATGTAAAAAAATACACCAATTGATAAAAATGAAAAATAAATTTCAAGATATCACTTTAATTTATAAGGCAACAAAAAACTAAAATTAAAAATTAAAATTAGTAATACTGTTTGCATTAAAAAGAAATAATATTTGTATAGTTACACACATAAGTGTGTATAAATAATTTATTCAATAATGCCGAGAGAATTATCTCATTTATAATAACAGACTGTTATACATTATCAAAGAAAAATAATATTTTTGGTAAAAATAAATAGAAAGGATAGATATAAAAAAAGAAATTTGTTCTCCAAAATCGTATCCTTTTACGCGCGGGCGTTTTGTTCGTGCGTAGACACATTAAAAAGTCGCCCCGAAATGAATACATCACAACGTATTAATAGTTCCTCGTTTAGATTCGACAAAAGTACACGGAAAGTCGTTATCCATAATCTGCATCGGCCATTCCAGCCAGTACTACCCCGCGCGACTAATACCGGATAGTCTGAGAAAGAGGATCATTTCGTAGCAATTATTCCCCCCGCGGATCTCCGACGAATTTAGTGGGGGAATCCTTTTTTTTTTTTGCACGGAGCTACCTCGCAAACCGGGAATCGTCTGTAGTCACGCAAAGTCAGACGCGAAATCGTAGGATGTCACGAGATGCTTCGAGTGGCTTGTCTCGAAGGTGCACGGGAAATCTTTTATGGCAATGACTCGTGGCAGCAGTGCCGTTTTGCTCATCCGCCGAAAGTCTTTTTCCATCGGCATCATAAAAACGAATTATGCATACAGAATGTTCAAAATCGACGAGTATTTTAACACGATGAACTATCCCACAAAATTCAGGGATTAGTCCCTTTTTTTAACGAAATACTTCAGAAAGACTTTTAATTTACGGATATATTTTTATATACGAAAGATAAAACATTTCCAGCGAATTGAGCTTCGGGAGTGATCGATGCTCGGTGAAATTGCGCGTTGATGTTTTCGACTTTAATAGATATCTCAATTACAAGTTTACTAACAGTATAAAAGCGAACAACGTTTATTTAGAACATTTTCTCGTCTGCTTCGAACTGCGGCGAAGCTACATAGCCGCTCGCATTTAAATGGATCACTGTATATCTAATATTTCACTGTCCGTAACATCGGTTCGGGCCGAGCGTGTTTTATGGTTTTCAGAAGTAATAGCTTTGATCGATCGTTTCGCGCCCCCCCCCCTTTCCCCCTCTCGGCCGGTTTCTTCATCCAAGACGAAGCGGAATGGGATTGCCTTCGCATGTTGAAAAATACTTCGTAATTGAAACTTGCCTGCAACTTAAGGGTCCTCCGCCAGGCGAGCATCTGGTGGGCCTGCGCCCGTTGCCTCGCCCTGAGTGCCGCTATGACCGACTTGGCTTCCTCCAATGACGTCACTTCCACCTCGTTACCGTCCTTCGCAGACTCGCCTGACAAGTCACTGATTCGGCGGCCCTCGTCGACGGTAGCCAATATGCAGCTGTCCATCGACGTCTCGTCGAAGCTGCGAACACAGAAAGTAGCGCGATGAATTATCCATCGTTCTACATCCGCTAAACTTTCGATAGCAAATATGTCGAAACGCTTTCGAGCAAATTACCGCTCGAGCGATCGTCGCGGTTTCCAAAGTTATGAGTTATGACAGAAGAATCCTACAACTATGCACGACATTCAAACAGAGATCTCTCCAATCTATTTATTTGTATTTATCTACTCATTTATTTATGTTGGGAGATTATTATTCATACATATGTATGTGTGATTTATTTTAATTATTAAATCTATTAACTTTTTATTTGTGTCGTTTATTGTTTTTACTATGTGCATTGAAAAAATTTCTTCTCTTTTATAAAAATTTTCATTTTATTTAAGATTATTAATATTAAAAATTTAGAAACAATTAAACAATCTTATTATTATGTAGGATGTATTGATATTACCTTTGTACATAATTCTAAAAGCATGTGGGATTATTCCACATGATTTCCTCTAACCAAAATCTAATTCAAACAGGAATAGTCTCAAAGCGAAAATCGCAAATCACGTTCAAACGCGGATACGATAACGTAAGAAAATTTCGATGCATCTTTTCCGGTCGATTACTCGTACAACGGGATTCCGTCATGGCAAAGCTCGTTCTCTTCAGCGGGAAATAATGTTCGTGCTTGAAAACAAACCCGCGCGACCTAAGATAGGTTTCGATACCCCTCGCGCACGCTCTCCTTCATTTTCATCGACGTACTAATGAATCACCCAGCTACAACTGGAAATAAAATTCGATACGAGTCCTAATGCATGGTCGTGCATGTAAAGTAAACTGATCCTAATATCGAGAAACGCGATCGTCAAATAAATCAGCGATCATGAGAACCATGCAACTCGGTTTAATAAAACTTGAGGATCAAACTAATACGAAATAGATGTGCGCCAACTGTTATCTCTTATACTTTTCTATCTCTTTTATTTCTCTTCTAAAATTTAATATATAAATAAAAAAATAATAGCTTGAAGTAAAAGAAAATATCGCGCGCGCATAAAGCATTCTTTTTTAGAATGGATTTTTAGCTGACTTGAAAATTTTACTTTTAATTCGTCGTATTTATATAATTTTAAATCGCTCTGTATAATCTTCGCCATATATCATTGCGTGAATGTAAGTTTATCTTTCCTTCATGCGGATGCTGACGATGCACGTGCGCGAATTTATCGCAGCGGTCTAATCAGTCGAGCGAACCGTTGTACGTCCGTAAATAAAAAGTATCCAGCCAAGTTTTACATCGGGGTGTACGTACGCGAAAATAAAAGTTTCCTAAAAGTTTAAAGTCGTGTTTTGATAGAAGTTTAGCGCGAAGTGGCTCTCGCGCGAATCCTATAAAAACGGACTCGTAATACTAGCCGGGGCGAGAGCTTGATATCGATTTCTATCTAGGAATTTACATCGCGCCGTATATCAAACGGATGTAGATACATACCTGTTACGGTTCGCGGATGAATAAAATCAGTCGAATGCACGAACGCGGCTGTGTACCCGCCGCTGAAAACGTAAGCCCGCCTCTGGCTGGATAAAAGCTACTCGGCTTTAAACTCGGGTAGAGACACGTGTCGTAATGTCGACAGTTACCTGTTTCCCTCATCGATAGTAAACGAACTTTTTTTTATACCGCATGCTCACCCGAGAACATCTTTGAAAGAGCTACTCGATACTAAAGTTCTGCAATGAATATATAACCGAGAGTGATTCTCGATTGTATCTGTGTATGTATGTATGTATCGGAAATTTCTTCTATCGCGAATATTTTTTGAGAATATGATCTTTTAAAGTGGTCTTATAAGAAAACTTTTTACAACCGCTCTTAGTAAATATAATATTAGATACAAAAGACACATACATATGTAATTCATAATATTTAGTTGAAGCTTTTTAGTAATTGAAGCACATTTTCATAAAGTTTTTCATAATTCGTTCTTTCACATGAATGTGAATATAGAAAAATTGAAAAAAATTTCTTTTCTCTTTCTTTCTCCAATTAAATCTTAAAAAAAAATCTAAATGCATAGTTATACAATGCTTTTCTATTAAATAGTGTCTCAAATATTACCTCATTTACCTATATAGTTTCGATGATATTTGAGACAATACATATCAAATTAGTTTCAACCTCTAAGCCTGCATTATAGTATACGCAAGGAAGTACATGTCCCTCATTACGAGCTACTCTACACGACACACTTGAAGCTTAGTAAACTCGAGAGACAGTTGTGAGAGTTCCCTAGTTAAAGTCATCTCTCGTCGTCTCGAATTCATTCCGATCGAGCGGAGACAAATCGGGGAAGAGGGCGGACTGTTAACGCGCCCCCGCGTGTAATCTACGTTACAAGTTATAGAGAGAGAGAGAAAGAGAGAAAGGCTAAAATCATCTACAAATTTATGTGCGGTTTACTTAACGGCAGTGACAGATATTTATATATGGAAAGTATTTTTCTATAGTATTCTCTTCAAGCTCCTTTCCCTCTGCGACTAATTAAGCCTAGATAAATTATGTATGAGTCGTCTGGTTGAGTCATGCCGCGTCGGCGGTGAATTTGACGTCCCTCCTCCCTCGTGGAGTGAGGGGCATCGATCGCGAGGCACCCCACATGAAAGCCAAAGATCGAAAACCCCCCGCGGTACATACGATAGGGAGCGCATTTCCGACAGGTAACTTCGAGAGCGAAACTACCACTGCGATATAAATGCGCTTCCACATCGCGAATAAAAAAAATATTGATATAATAAAATAGCGAAAGGCAAACACATGTGTGAACGCGGCGCGATATGGTTTGAAAGATGATTAACAATAAGTTTAAATGACTGAGTTTATTATTACAGTTATTATACTCGGAATGTGCTTTATACGAGAAATTAATTATCGATTATTGCTTACTATAATTCGTATCGCGTATACGGATGCATAGATTATAATGCATAGATTAATTATCAATTATTATTTGTAATTATATATAAAGTATATGTTTATTATTATTATTATTATTATTATTATTATTATTATTATTATTATTATTATTGAATTTATTCTACATTTATTGCATTGAAAATTATATTCATGCATATAATAATAAGCAGATTAGTAAAATAATTTTATAAATTTTTGAAAAAAACATTAATAACTCTAATAATTCCATATAAAAGCTATAATCTAAAAATAGAAACTTTTACAAGATTATAGCTTTCATATAAAAATCTTTTTCTCTAATTCTCTCTT